ATTGCCGTTCTCCATTACTGCTTGAAAAAGTGTATACTCTTTCTGGAAATATGTATTAAGAAATTTTAAAATGTTCACATCCTTTGATTTCATTTTTAGGAATCTAGCCCAAGGAAAATTTTGCATGTTGATGTATTACAAATATCTCTGGGTGGTGGAAATTATGAGGTTGTTTTCTGTTTCACATTCTTTTCTATTTCTTCTACATTTCTTAATGATCATCTCCTACTATTCTTCTTACTTTTGCCCCTTTTTTTTCTATATTCCACTCAGTACTTCATTGCTTGATTTCTCTGAGTATTAAAATGATATATGGAGATAGGGAGTAGACAGGAAATCTCTGTACTGTCAGTTCTTTATTGCTGTGAAACTAAAACTGCTTTTAAAAAAGAGTCTCTTTAGAGGTAGGTAGACAGATAAAAATGAGTCAGTAGTAGCTTCCAAAGAAGAGTAAAATTTGGAGGTATAATATTTGGTTCATAATAGGAACTCAATAAATTTTGCTGGATCATTTTATTGCTTTCACTAAGCAAAAGTTCCTCTTCATATGAGAAAGTAGGTGGTTTATAGTTTGACTATATCATACCATTTAATCAGGGAAACTACTCAAGTATCTAATAAAATGACATATTTATGTGGATAAATGAATTTTTCAGGAACTGAAAGTTTTTTCAATTCAATATGCATGTTATGCCTAGAATTTATATGAAACTATTAAATAAGCTCTTTTAAAGAATCTTTATGTATTAATAATCTCCCAATGAATAGATTAGTCACTGCTCCTCAGTGTTCCTTTGCCTTTAACATGCAGTCCATCATTTATTTTTTTTATTGTGGTCAGATGTCATTACTAATTTCTGTAGTTTTTTTAAGTGTACTCTTAATTGGAGATGTCTTATTCCTTAGAATGTAAGTCTTGTTAATTAATTGTTTGAATTGCCTCTGTGCTTTAAATATCATATTTTACCTTGTAAATTACCACAGTATCCAATATAGTTGTGCCTGCATCCATTTTTCCACTGCATGGAATAAAGTGGTTTAAATCCATTTTCTTTCTCCTATAGTGGTTCCCCCTGGAAGTCCTGGGCCTATTACTCGACACGGGTCTTATGACAGTTTAGCTTCTGACCATAGTGGACAGGAGGATGAAGAATGGCTATCTCAGGTAAAATTCTGAAATATTTGGGGTATTAAAGTAAACAAAAACAGAAATTCACTGTCTGTTTTTATTCTTTTCCTTAGAGGAAAGTGGGGAGAATTGGTAACTCTGTTGAATCATCAAGAATTAATCAATTGCCTTTCCATATTACAAATTTCTCATAAATATTGCTGTCATATACATATATGTACATTATACATACACGTGTGTGTGTGTATATGTTAGGTTTCATGTAGAGAGCATAAAATATGCATATGTTTCACACAATCCATTTAAAGCCCTTAGGCCCTTGGAATTTAAATAGACTCTTTGAACATATTTTCATCTGGTTTAAACAAAAGTTGACCTTGTTAAAACAGTGAAGCCATTCAACAATCTTTGGGATTTGTTTTGTGGAGCCAACATTTTCTGAAGATTGGGTTCATACTTTCAGTGTGGAAATTCTGCATTCTCCTCTGCAGAATTTCTGGTGGTACACAGCTTCCTTTCCTAAGCCCACGTAATGCTGTTTCTAGTGGTCTCTAAATTAGTCCTGTAGCAACTTTAATGGTTCCTCCCCTTGCCAGGTGAAGCTATCTTCATCTCAAGGGCTTTGAAATAAAAGATACTTGGGCAGATTTCAAAATGATGAGATTATAGATGACTTCATTACAAGTGCTGTTATGCCTGCCTCAAGTCTGACATCATTTTCTGAAGTTAACGACTGTCTCAGATTACCAATCTGGCAGCTTTTCATCAGACAGGTGCCTCAGAAAAAGTAGAGGCCATTTGTATTATAGTTGCATGGCTTTCTCAGGGAAGGTGGCCTGAAAAATTTAAGTAAATCTGGAAAATGAAGAATCAAACAGTGTTTAGGTAACATATTTTTATTTTATCATACTAAAAATATTCACGGTAAGCTCCTTCAAGGAGGGTCGATGCCTAAGTTCCTGGTGTATGGAAGTCCATCCTTTCTTGATAATACCAAGATAAAGTAAACCCGAAATGCTTGTGTTTTTCCAAAATCAAAATGTTGTTCAAGAATGCTGGCAAAGAAACCACTGTCCTTCACTTCAACTTTTCAGTTAGAAAAAGGGGTAATGTGTGCTGTCAGTGTGAAAGTATATACAATATGTTTGTCCTGCACACAACAGGAGAGTGAGTGGGAACATCTGGCCATCGCCTCAGTGAAATTGCACAGGCATCTGTTTACCTCTCGGCTCTGTGACACTGATGGTTTTGAGCTTAAAATACACAGAATGTTTTATCTGTGGCCTAATTTACATTGCTGAATACAACTACTTGAATCAGAAATCACTGTCCTCGATCTGAGTATTTTTCTCCCTGCGATTAGTGGGAATGTGAATATTGTTCAAAGACCATGATACTTTTGCCCTTTTGGACCCACAAACACAGAGCTACTCTTCTGTGAACCTTTTCAGTTATGTTTTGTTAAGAATTAATCCCCACAATCAGAGAAATGTGATTAAGTATAAAAGAACTCAGGGCAAAAATAAGGCATGTGGAAAGTCAATTCTATAAAGTATTTGTACAGACATGGATGTAGCAATGACAAGACATTAAGAAATAGTCTTCACTGAAGGTTTGCATATTTAGTCTCTTACTTGAGTTGTTTGCAAAATAACATAATATGTATATTTTCAGGTTTTGTCCAGTGTCTTCTACTCTCTGCTTTGTCTTTACAATGTAATATTGGCAACATTCTCTATTCTGTCCATAGAGCGTGAAATTCATAAAGCATTTGGTGTTTTGTAGCCCATAAAATGCCTGTGTCAGTGTTTGTGGCAATTGAGAAAACACTCTAAGTAATCATATTTTGAAGACAAAAATCTAGTTTGACAGAAAATATATAATAATTTCTTGATTTAAAAGTAGATTTGGGGGGATTTTGAGGGCAGTATACTAAATATTATAATATTTAATTGTGGAAAGAAACTGGATTTGGGTATTAAAAATTATTTCAGACCTTTTCTTTTCCTTGGATAGTTCAAGAACAACTTCAAGTTTGTCATGAGCTTGATCCTCAGTGAAGGAATTACTTTTAATCTGTGGATTAATAGGTGTAGTATTCAGTGCATGCCCACAACATGGTAAGTACTGTCTAGAATGAATGAAAAGGGTAGTCCCTAGGGAGCTGAAAATAGTTATATGAGGCAGGCAACTGGTCCTTTTACTTTCATATGATTTTTGTATTGTGTGTGTATGTGTGAGTGTGTGTGTTGTTTGTGTATGTGTGGATATACATATATAATGTATTTTTTGGTTTATGTTGATGAAAACCAGTAGAGGGATTTTGTGAATTTTACATAGTCTGTGATTATTATTGCCTTTTGATTGTGGGTGCCCCTTCCCTCTCCCGCTTCATTAAAATGGGCTTCTTGGAGAATGTGGGTGTTGAGAGAAGGGATGGGGGATCGTGAAAGGATCTCAAGTGGAGTCACAATACATTTAAATCATGATTCCTACTTTGTTCCAGGTTGAAATTGTAACGCACACTGGGCCCCACAGACGTCTGTGGATGGGTCCACAGTTCCAGTTCAAAACCATCCATCCCTCAGGCCAAACCACAGTCATATCATCCAGTTCATCTGTGTTGCAGTCTCATGGTCCGAGTGACACACCACAGCCCCTTTTGGATTTTGATACAGATGATCTTGACCTCAACAGTCTCAGGTAGGAAATAAGAACTAGGGAGTGGTTTGAATGACAGAACCAATATGTTTATTTGGAATGAGCGTCGTATATAATATTGACATTTCTCCTTTTGAAACAGTATCCTGTTGTAGAGTACATGCGCTATTATGTGTAATTCACTGTCATTACTTGGGATCTTATGTGGGATCACATTACATTCAATAAATATTTGTTTTTCATGTTGTATTTTCCCTAAATCTAATATTCAGTATACTTTTCAAGGCATTCCAATTTATGATGCTTTGCTCATATTTCTAACTCTTGAAGTCTGATTCTATCCTCTTTTCCTGATCCTTCTAATTAAATTTCATCTGTGATTTTTTATCTAATCCAGTATCTTTTTGGATTTTAAAAAGTGTTTGGATGGAAAAGTTTTGGTATATATTCACTTATAGTTTATTATTTTCACAATATATATTCTCTCATCCTTACAAGAATCATAGTATAAGGTGTACAAAGTATGCTTTTTATTATTAGTGGGTTTTTTTAATGCAATTCAGAGACATTTTTGGCTTTTGCTGTCTCAAATTTGCTTAGCAGTTTGTTATACCAAGACATGACACATCAGGGTGTAACAGACAATAAAGGGCTCAATTTAATGTAATATAATCTTCATTTCCTTATTTTCTCTTTAAAAAATCCTGTAATACATCTCGATTTGAGTATAAAGCAGCCCTCTGACCGTTTTCTTGCACACCTTTTAAAAAATATTTTTTTGGGGGGAAATATGGGAAGATATGTTCCAGTCGCATGTTGGAAATATGTTTTTGTCTGTCTCATTGTCAATACCTGTAACAATTTTTATAACAAAACATAAGTTACTGAGATTGCCAGCAGTTAAATTAGGGATTTGGTGAGAGAACTTTTTACAAGGAATCAGAGACATGGCCCATGGACATGGACATGGACATGAACATGAACATGGACATAGTAAAATGGAACTTCCAGATTATAAACAGTGGAAGATAGAAGGGACACCATTAGAAATTGTCCAACAGAAGCTGGCTGCTCAAGGGCTAAGAGATCCATGGGGCCACAATGAAGCTTGGAGATACATGAGTGGCTTTGCAATGTTTCCTTTGTTGGCACATTATTAAAAGGATTCAGGCCGGGCGCAGTGGCTCACACCTGTAATCCTAGCACTCTGGGAGGCCGAGGCGGGCGGATTGTTTGAGCTCAGGAGTTCCAAACCAGCCTGAGCAAGAGCGAGACCCCGTCTCTACTAAAAATAGAAAGAAATTAATTCGGACAACTAAAAATATATAAAAAAAATTAGCCGGGCATGGTGGCACATGCCTGTAATCCCAGCTGCTCGGGAGGCTGAGGCAGGAGGATCGCTTGAGCCCAGGAGTTTGAGGTTGCTATGAGCTAGGATGACGCCACGGCACTCTAGCCCGGGCAACACAGTGAGACTCTGTCTCAAAAAAAAAAAGGATTCAAATGGGGATTTGCTGCATTTGTGGTAGCTATAGGGGCTGAATATTTCCTGAAGTCCCTGAATAAAGATAAGAAGCATCACTGAAGATAATACCTGGAAGTATCTTAGTGGTTTCTTAACTCTCTTATAAAAATAAGATTTCTTCACTGTAGCCTACTCATGTCTGTGTTTGTCCCTTAAAGAATATAAGTAAGATTTAATAAAGAAAAGCATATACCAAAAAAAAAAAAAAACATAAGTTATTGCCAAGTTGGATTGTGTCTGATATATGTATTTTTTAAAAAAATATAATACATATTTAGGCCAGGCACAGTGTCTCATGCCTGTAATCCCATCACTTTGGTAGGCTGAGGCAGGGAGTATCACTTGAGGCCAGGAATTTGAGATCAGCCTGGGCAATACAGCAAGACCCCATATCTACAAAAAGTTAAAAAATTAGCTGGGTGCAATGGTGCAAGCTTGTAGTCCCAGCTATGGGAGGATCACTTGAGTTCAGTAGTTTGAGGTTACAGTGAGCTATGATCATGTCCCCACACTCCAGCTTGGGCAACAGAGTAAGACCCTGTCTCTTAAAAAAAAAAAAAAAAACAACTTATTGAGCACCTATAGGTTCCAGGATATAAACCTAGGGTACAGCCAGCTGCCCCCTCCTCTTGGTTGTCTCTAAAGCATCGAAGACTTAACAGGTCTGAATCACCCCCTTCATTTCATCCTTAATCCTGCTCTTCCCCATCTCTTTAAATGATTTATCAAGCCACTTACTCAAGATAGAATCTAGAGGTTATTCTTGACATCCCTCCTTTCTCACCTGCCACATCTAGTTCTTCATCACCTTGTGTCATTTCTATTCTTAAATGTATCTAGAAACCTTCCATTCTTCTTTCTCCCTGCCAGCACTCTAGCAACCACATCTCCTGTTAGTAGGCTCCTAACAGGTGTCCCTTTTTACATTTTTGCTTTTCCCCCACTTATATATCTTAATGAATGAATGATTCATAAAGAGGAAGATGTCTCCTTTTAATACCTTGTTTAGTGTTTGTTTTGTTGTTTAGTTTGCTTTGTGTTTTGTTTCTTTGTCTTTTTCTCTGGTGACTATGACCAGCTGCCATCATGAGGCCCTGGCCTTTTTCTTAGGAAGGCATCTTCATTCCCTGTGTATTCAACTCTGTCCCTTTGTTCCGTGGCCTTTTCCAGCTTTGTTAGTTGCTCTTTACCTCAGATATAGTCCTTCTAAGATCTTTCTACCTTGCTTCTTTTAAAAGTAGATAAATCCTTCAGAATTTTCCTGAGGGACTTTCCTTTTTTTATTTTTTAAAGAGAGATAGGCTCTGGCTCTATTACCCAGGCTAGAATGCAGTGACAGAATCATTTCTCACTGTAACCTCAAACTCCTGGGCTCAGGCTATCCTCCAGCTCAGCCTCCCGAGTAGTTGGAACTGCAGGCCTAAACCACCGCGCCTGGCTAATTTTTTATATTTTGTAGAAAAGCGGTATCGCTCATGCTCAGGCTGGTCTTGAACTCCTGGCCTCAAGCGATCCTCCTGCCTCAGCCTCCCAAAGTGCCGAGATTACATGTATGAGCCACTGTGCCTGGCCTCCCTTTTTTTATACTAAATAGCTCCAAGTTTTTTTTTTTTAAATAAATGACTTTAAACTGTTATGTTTGACTAGAATATTGTCCTGTTTATTAGACACTCATAACCTTTACAAACCTTTATACTGGGCAGGATGCTTATAAATTTTTTTAATTGCATTAGTAATTTATATTTTAAAATTTGAACAGATAAGCTTGGTTAGAACTTTGGTTAAGACCGTACAGTCCAGTTTTACTGGGAAATTCAGATCTGACTCACATCAATTTTAAGTATCCTTTTTAGTACCGTTTCCCACCTAGCATCCAGCTAGAAACTCAGCTAGTTATATTTTCCTTGTTCTTGTTTACTATTACTCTAGCCCAGCTCCTCACCTGTGGTTCATCTACATTTCTTCAGGCCTACGCACAATGGCACTATGGAGGCTATTGGCTTTAGTTTCTCCTTTAAAATGTGAAGTCCTTGTTTAGATTTTTGGAGCTTATTTGACCCTTAACACCTAACACACTGTCCTATACCCTATAAGATGTCAGTAAGAATATGTAGTACAGTGATACTCTGCCTCCCTGCATCTTAACCAAAATGAGAAACAGGCAGGTACAGTGTTGACTCTCATCCATGAGGGAATCAGGTATGGCTTAATCTCATGGCAGCTCCTTACCCAGGACAGTGATTTAAAATGTAAAAAAGGGCTGAGCAGGATGGCTCATGCCTGTAATCCCAGCACTTCAGGGAGTCAAGGTAGGAGGATTGCTTGAGACCAGCAGTTTGAGACCAGCCTGGGCAACATAGCAAGACCCCATCTCTAACATATATATAAAAAAAATTAGCTGAGCATGGTGGTGTGTACCTGTAGTCCTAGCTACTCAGGTGGCTGAGGAAGGAGGATTGCTTAAGCCCAAGAGTTTGAGACTGCAGTGAGCAATGATTGTGCCACTGCCCTCCAGACTGGGTGACAAAGCAAGACTGTCAAAAAAAAAAAAAAAAGTCAATGGACTATTTGCTAATAGACCTGAGAATCATATAATGTAAAAGAAGCTGAGTATAGAAAGCCTCCCTTTCCAATCAAGATTAGCTCCTCAGCAATTGGTTACCATTTATTTTATTTCTTCTTAGTTCATATATAATTCACATAACATAAAATTTACCAGTGTACAATTTACTGGTTTTTAGTATATTCACTATGTTGTGCATCTGTCCCCAGTATCTAATTCCAGAACATTTTCATCATTCCAACCAGTTTGTTTTTATTTTTGTCTTTTTTTATTATGGAGAAAGCTCAAACATATATAAAATAAAGAGAATAATAGAATAAACCCCCATATATCTGTTGCCCAGCTTCAACACATCAATTCATGACCAATCTTATTTTACCTATAGCCACATTGATACCCCACCTCCAACTCTAGATTATTCAGAAACCCCAATACAAATTGAATTTAAAATAGGAACTTTAAAAAAAAATAGGAAATGTATTAGCCCATATCAGAAGTTTTTTAGACTAGAAGGGGGCTTTACTTTGGATAATGCCTCCGTATCTATTTAAGTTGGTACAAAAGTAATTGTGGTTTTGGACCATGAATTTTAAATCATTGTAACTAGACTCAAACACATCTTTATTAATCAAAATAGGAACCATTACAATCAACACATTTTGCCAACGAGAAATAAGTTTGCTTATTCCTTATAGCATAAAAATCTGTGCTTCAGGATTCGGCAAACTCTTGGAAAGCATTTTCTGCTTCCTGCTGGTTGTGAAAGCATTTTCCCTGCAAAAAGTTGTCACGATGCTTGAAGAAGTGGTAGTCGATTGGCAAGAGGTCAGGTATTATGGTGGATGAGGCAAAACTTCGTAGCCTGAATTGTTTAACTTTTGAAGCGTTGGTTGTGCGACTTGTGGTTGAGCGTCGTTGTGGAGAAGAATTGGGCCCTTTCTGTTGACCAATGCCGGCTGCAAGCATTGCAGTTTTTGATTCATCTCATCAATCTGCTGAGCATACTTCTCACCGGGATTGAGAAAGCTGTAGTGGATCAGACCGTCAGCAGACCACCAAACAGTGACGATGACCTTTTTTTGGTGCAAGTTTGGCTTTAGGAAGTGCTTTGGAGCTTCTTCATGGTCCAACTGCTGAGCTGGTCATCGCTGGTTGTTGTATAAAATCCGCTTTTCGTCACATGTCACAATCCAATCGAGAAATGGTTCGTTTTTGTTGCATACAAGAAGAGAAAATGACGTTTCAAAACAATTTATTTCGGTCCGCTCATGAGGCACCCACTTATCAAGCTTTTTCACCATTCCAATTTGCTTCAAATGCTGAGTGACCCACAGAATGGTCCACCTTGAGTTCTTCGGCAACTTCTCGTGCGGTTGTAAGAGGATCATCTTCGATGATTGCTCTGACTTGATCATTGTCAACTTCCGATGGCTGGCCACTGCGCTCCTAATCTTCAAGGCTCTTGTCTTCTTTGCAAAACTTCTTGAACCACCACTGAACTGTACGTTCATTAGCCGTTCCTAAGCCAAATGCATTGTTGATGCGAGTTGTCTCCGCTGCTTTACGACCCATTTTGAACTCAAATAAGAAAATTGCTCAAATTTCCTTTTTGTCTAACATCATCTCCATAGTCTAAAATAAATATAAAATAAACAAGTAATAAGTCATTAGCCAAAAAACATAAAGTGAGAAATGTGCATTAAAATGATGTATAACATAACCACATTTATTTAAGAATGTATTCCAATATCAAGTGGCAAATTTCAACAATGCTAAAACCACAATTACTTTTGCACCAGCGTAATAACAGGCTAGCTTCATGTTTCTTTCAAGAACAAGAAAACTTCTTTTCTAGAAACTTCAAATAAACTACTCCTCTTTTCTTACTAGCTCACATTTGCTTAGGCTTTCCCATCTGAGAAGTAACTACGCACTGCCGAGATATTAATATGATGGGATTACCATGATTGGCTTAGAAAATTAAGCTAGGATGGAATGAATATTAGGTAGTTCTACATCGCAGTGGTCAACATTTGGGTATCAATAATTTTACCTTCCTGTTCTACATCATTCTACACCTCCCTCAAATACATACATTCAAACTGTATATTCAGTAACTAGTCTGCAATTCTGCAATAATTGTCTACAATTCATACTTGGCATTTCAGGCTTCTATAATGTGTCCCATGTTTCTTATCAACTTTTTATCTTCCACCTCTACCCTTTGTGAACTGTATACTTCAGTCAAATCATGCACCTCAAGATGCCCTTCATTTATCATACTCAGTCACAAATCCCAGGCTCTGTCTGTTGTAGTCCTGTACTTAAAGGATACTTCTTGCTCCTTTCTCTATATACATATCCCAATATTATTAATATATACAGACCTAATTCTTGTTCCAGCTCTGCAAGATCTTCTCTGTCTCATGTGGACCATGCATATATTCCACCATCTCCTCATTTTGAGCTTTTATTATATCTTTCACATTTACACTTTAGTTTTCTTTGCCTCAAGTCATGAATATTTATGTTCTATGTAATGTTTCTGCGTATAGACCTTATATTTCATGTTTTATTTCTGCTTTTTCCTAGAATAATGCTGATGTACAATTAACATTCAGTAAATAGTTATTGTACAAATGAATTACCAGAAATACATGCATATGTTGTTATGAAAGTATTTGTTTCTCTAAGTTGCCTGGGACTTTCAGATTTTTTAATCATCCAGATACTTTTATATTAATAGTATTTATTCTAATACAGCTAGAAAAAGACACTTGGTGTTTCTATGTTTATCATTCTTAAGCACTTTTGTTGAGGTTCTAATTGATCCTTATATGCTAGTTGGTAATTTTATGAAGGTAGCTTAGTTAGTAGTGATCCTAGCTAAACCTCATGCAGCCACAACACAGCTTTGTTATCCTATTCTTATTGTCATACATAAAGTAACTTTCATTAAGGATTATAAGGTAGTATCTCAATTTTGAATCACATATTGCTGCCTTTTATATAATGCATTACCAGCTGTGGTACTATTCATGAATTTTAACATTCTCAAAACTCTTCATATGTGTCCCTTGCGAATGCCAAAGGTTTCAATATAAACTTTTTCAATGTTTTGTTTCCTCTACCATTTTACTTATTGTATCCCTTTAAATTAATGTCAGTTTTTTTAGTCCGTTGCTTAAAAATCTGTTGAACGATAAACAAAGATAAGTTTTTAGAAGGAGCCTGGAGTGGAGAGAGTGTTCATAGTGCTTTATCCTCCTGCAAGAATTAGGGACTGCAGCTCCCGTTTGTCTGGTTTTAGAATGGATGGTTCTTTAATGGATTGGGCTACTCCAACATTCCTGATTTAAGGTCTTCTGTAGCAAGCGACAGTTTTGATGCCAGTAACATATGTGAATTAAATTGCATTGCAGGATCCAGCCAGTCCGCTCTGACCCAGTCAGCATGCCAGGGTCATCCCGTCCAGTCTCTGATCGAAGGGGAGTTTCCACAGTGATTGATGCTGCCTCAGGTAGAAAACCACCTCTAAAATGTTTACTGAGCAGTTCTGTGCATTTTTAATTTATTTTCTTGCAAAATGTAGAGCATGGTATTTATTTGCCTTCCTCTTTGGTTTTTTTTTGTTTTTTTTTTTGTGGTTTGTGTGCGTGTCTTTTAATATAGTACTGTGCCCATATATGTTGCTAAACAATGCCATGCTTTTAAACATTCTTAAGGTTGGTGAATGATGCAGTAGAATTGGCACTTGATTAAATGTAATGAGCATAGTATTAAAGGCTACAGGGTTGATGACTATTTTGCCTTTGATCACTGAAATGTGGCGAAGCAACCTTGACAGAGAACGTAAATACAATATATGGATTCAATTTACTCAACCTGTTGAGTATCAAAGTGCCTAATCTGTGGAAGCAGAGAGAGTCCAAATGCTATAGCTTGAATGGTTTTATTATCGAAAGCATAAAGTTTAGAAATTCATTAACTTAACTCTGGTCTGTCTATCACAGTTATTAATTTCCTATCCTTGGAAACAAGCTATGAATATGTATCATTAATACCTGGAAGGAGATCTTTGCCTTTGTAGGCGACAGTTGCTACACTGGTATTATAAAACTGTTTTCAGCCAGGCCTGCTAAATAATAGAACTGTTTTAATAATATATTTTCTTATCCCTAAGTTGAGTGATAAAGAAAATAAGGACAGTGCTGCCTTGCATTACGGTACAGCTGGGGAACATCTGAAGATAGCACACTGCAGGATTTTGTCCAAAAATTCTCTCTCAAGTAGAATTGTTAAATACTCAGCATTAGTCAAACAGTCGAGTCAGAGAGGATTTTAATCTATAGCGATTCCAAAATCCCTAGAGACTGCTGATTTGATCGAGGCTTAAACTGTGAAAGAAAATGGAAACAAATATAAAACTGATTTGTGAAGGTCACTTTTAAAATACCAAAGCTCCTGTTTCTGAGTCTGTCTCTGGGTACATTTTTAAGTTTTGAAGCTAATGGGTTTTATGCATTTTTTTAGCTTTCTGAAGTTTTGTGCAGCGGATTACACCTTGCATCTTACTGAGCTTCCCCATCAAGGGCCTTTGTTTTCAATGTAGACTATTACTTTATAGGACTCACTCTTCTCTTTAACTTGGTAACCATAGATGTCCCTTGGAAACTATCACAAAGATGTGTGGAATCTCTATCCTTGCTTGCCTGCATTGAATGAGATATTCAGATAGGTAATTTATATAATAAATCTCAATAGTCTCAATCTGAGAATGTTAAGAGATCATGCTCATCTGGAATTATCATTCACGTTTGGGAATCCTGGAAATGTTATGTATTTTATTCACGATTACAAGAGTAGGCCTGGTTGGGCTTTTTAACTACCTTATTGTTAATGTTTTATTCTCAAGTGACTAGCTACCAGGAACATATGTCGCCAAAACAGTTACCATGTGTTACTAAAAGTTGACATATTTGATGCTATAGTCTGTAGTAATACTCCATATTTATCACATAGCAATTTAAGCTATATGTAAAGTCGTCTCGGCAACAAGGAGGAACTTCAATGAACTATTGTTGATCTCTGTTGCAAAAAGGGTTTTTAAGTTGATTTTTGAATAAGAAATTAGGTCTTACATGTCAGTAATCTTAAATTACACTTCCATCAGAAATACATTGTAGGCAATTCTAGTATATTGCTGTGTGGCTTTTAGCCTCTGCCTGAAAGTACCAATCTTTTGGGTAGGGAAAGGACTTCTTGGTGACTAAGCTTTATTATTATTTTTCTAGGCCTATTTTCATTCCAGAAAGCCATGGTTCCTTTCTGAAAGACAGCCAGAACAATGAAGCATGTATGCTGCTGTCCTTAGTTTTGAGCTAAAGAAGCCCCATAGATGAGGAATTGGACTTTTATGAATAACTGTCTCTTCAGCTACCTCTCAAATGGTTTGGTTCCCTTTTGAATGAGGAGTATATGTTGTTCAATACATTTTTTTGAGTGAATCATGTTTTGTCATGGAACCTCCACCTACTTTGTCTAGTAAGACTGTGGTTGTTAACAGAAGTACTTTTCTACTGATGTCTAACAAGATCAAGGCTAAATGATTTTAGCTTTCTTTTTCTTTCTTTCTCTCTCTCTCTCTCTCTTTCTTTTGATGGAGTCTCACTATGTTGCCCAGGCTGGTCTCAAACTCCTGGCCTCATGTGATCCTCCTGCCTTGACCACCCAAAGTGCTGGGATCATAGGCTTGAGCCAGTGTGCCTGGTCAATTTGAGTTCTTTATGGAAACAAGTTCATGGGGAAATTCTGTTTTAGATTCTTCTAAAAAGAATCTAATAAATTTATAAAATTGCTCCTGAACCAGGAAATGCTTCTCGTATGAATTGAAGTCATCTGCATATTAGGAAGATGCTCACTTGGAGGTTTGAGTGCCTATTGCTTAGAGATATGACCAGTGTGATACCTACTCTATCAGGCTTCATTGCTTTGTATTAGCTTCAGGCATTTTGTATGACTTCATGTGTTGTCTGTTTGCTTATTCCTATGGCACATCTTATACTTGTCCTTCTATTTTAGTGATAGGTTTTGTTCTGTCTAACCTTGTGGTGGTTATAATTATTTTTCATATGGTTACTTTTCATAGGCATAGAATTTAATGTGATATAATTAAATCTTTTGACAGTTATAACAGTTTTCAAAGTGAAAATATTTTATTTAAAACCTGGGTCTGCAGTTTATTTTTTGGATATCTGTGGATTAATCTAACAGTGTTGTTATTCCATTAAAACAAAAGAGTTGAGCAGAGCCTTGTGCCACTTATGCCAAGTAATATTTTTTTTCACAATTCCTTGATCATCTAGTAATCTCTGGTTCACTCTTTCACATGGAAATACTGCCTAAAGTAATTTTTTTTTTTTTTTTTGGAGGCAGGGTCTTACTATGTTGCCCAGGCTGGTCTTGAACTCTTGGGCTCAAGCGATCTTCCAGCCTTATTCTCCTGAGTAGCTGGGACTACAGGTGCATGCCACCATGCTCAGCTTAAACTACATATTGTTTACTTATTAATTTCAGTGATTTAGGCACAGGGTAAATTCTACGCCTGTAGATACCTATGGCCTAGCTTCTCACTGTCTCTGTATGAATATATAGATCTTCAGCAGATCCACAACTGTTTGATGAGTAGATCTTATCCTGTAACATAAGTTTCATCTTTGGTGTTTCAAAAAACGCTATCCTAGCTAAGATTTGGGAGTTAAATAATTGTGAGATGTTTCCTTCTTGGCTAAGGACAAGATCGTTCTGAAACTGGGCACTTTGTAGGATTTTAACCTAAGACACAGGGTACCCAGAACAAACAGGCTTTGAGACAACTGCTCATTTTTTCCGACATTCAACTAACAACAATGTCTATGAATTATAAACAGTATTTCCAGTCCAAGCACTGCATTGGTTTCTTTGTTTGTTTTTTTTTTTCTGTACATTCTTTTTGGTGAGGTATCTAAGAATTTCTTCCCATTGTTTGTACCTTGTAACATGTCCCCTTCTTTTCATAAAGGTACCAGAAGTACTTTTCTACTGATGTCTAACAAGATCAAGGCTAAATGATTTTAGCTTTCTCTAAAGAGAAAGCAGAAAGATAGTTGTCAGCCTCTTGTTTGAACTTTATTTTCTAGATTGGTGACTGATGTTCTTGTTCTAAGACTTGTGGGATGGACCTGTTAGAAAACTTAAAGCAGCCTTACCTGCTTTTCAGTCATCAAGTCAAAGAGCCTGCAGAGATCTGGTTTACCCTAAGTTTGTCCTCGTTTGTAGTTTTACTATGGAGATTGATATTTACTAACAAAGACCTCAAAGCAACTGAGATTGAAAGACAAAGTTATGCCTGACTTGTATGAAGAGCAGACATCTTTATCACATTCTAATAAAGTAAAAGTTTTATGAAGATAAAGTTATGAGGTGTGCTGGAAGTAGCATTTGTGTATATTCCTAAGGAAGCTTATAGAGGGAGGAGGACAATTGGGACAGATAAGTAAAATGACTTCTTATACTTCAGAGCAGGCTTTGATACGTAAGTTATTAGTTTTACATCAAGCATTTCAATAAATAGAGACAAAGTTACAGAGTTGGTGTTTGTTGTTGTTCTTGAATAAAAAGAAATATTACTTTTGTTGTACAATTGAAGTAATGTAAATAATTAACTTAGGAGATAATTTTTGAGCACCTAATTTTTCCCAATCTCAAAATAATTCATTTACAGAATAAAATTATACACTGAAAATCCTGAACTAGTTTCATTTGATTGATCATTTGTGCCTACTTTATATATTTAGCATTTGGCATAGCACCTTCAAAAAACCAAATAATACTTACTAGAAAAGTACAGTTGGGTGGGTGACACGAAGATTTATTTGAGAAGTTTCCATTTTATTTTTCAGTCACATCTATGCTGAAAGGGCATTCTTATAGAGGCATGCTTTTATCTTACAGAGATTTTTCTGACATACTTGGGGAATAGCGTTCCTAAGGATTATAATTCACTGTATCTACAGTTGCCATTACACTCTGAGGCAGACAGACTTAGTCATTATATCTTAAAGCCATCAGAGACACAGAAATGCTGATGGTAAGAAGTAAGGAGATTTGTCTGAGACACTGTTCAGTTTACCATGGTCAGGCCACATAGCTCCATGATCTTAAAACTGTAACTGAGTGACAGAAGCCAGGACTTTATAACCATGGTCTTTAACTTTTGCTGAAACCTTCAGCGAGTCCTTTTTCCTACCTAGCCATTCTTTTCTGTATCTGTAAAAGGAAATTAAGGTTCCCTATGCATAAATTTGTTTTACCTATTTTGAAAGGGGTGTGTTCAAATAATTTCTTAAAGTATTTCCCAGATATGAAGAATATCAAGTTCTTTAGAAATATTAAGATATTTCTTTGAATAAATGATATGGTTTTCAGTTAACAGAGTTCCAGATATTCTTGGTGATTATAAAGTGATGAAAACTCCAGGCA